CCCCAAAACCCCAAAACCCCAAAACCCCATCAAAATTACTAAGATTGTGGAACCAAAACTTATCAATACTAAAAGCAAGACTTGACTGTTATGAACTCAACGAGCCTTCGTTCTGCTTAAAACATTAAATCTATTTTGGTGAAGGAAACCCATTGGTTAGGTGCCATTTGGAGTCAATAATATTGCCTTGGAATCTGGCTTCGCATGAAAGCTGTTCTCAAATAAAATCTAAATCCTTATCAATCCGGTCTAAGATTTCAACAGAAATTAAATATATTTCCATCCAAATGGAACAGACTTACTCGAACCTTACTTGGAAGTTTAAAGGGAACAGATTTGCAAACAGAATGTCATGAAACAACAGGGGAACAACTGCAAAAAGATAGCATGAACTCCTTTTATATTGTCCAGAGGCAGTCTATCTATTCGTAGCATAAGGAACAATCATGACGCTACTCTCATTATAAAAGATGATGAGTCTAATAAATTATTGATGAAACTTATCAAGCTTAATCCCCAGCTCCACAACCTTGAAGGCATCTCATTTCTTATTGCCACGACTAAGAAAAGGTGTGTTAGGATGTTGAATTCTTTCCCAAAGCTACTGACCCAGGTAAGAAGAGACAAGATAGAAACCATCTGAATTACACAAAGAACAAACTGTTTCAGAGTACTGTTGCCATTCAGTAATATCAAGATTATAGCAAATCTATGAGTTCAGCCAAAGAGTAGGCTTATCCAGAAATCTATGCGTGGAGCTTAGGCTAAGCTATTTCTAGCAAACACTCACAAATAATTGAATGCTTTGTGGCAAGTACAAAATTTTACAGTTTGAAAATTAAGTCTAAATTTCATAAAACTGTAGTTTTTATACCAGAAATTTGCTCGGAGTTTTCCTGATGGTAACAAATTTTTTACGAGCCGAGTTTTCGTAATATGAGTAAATCCAAATTTTGACCAACTATACAGCAAGAAACTTCAGAAGGATCTTCATAGCTTGAAAAATACTTAAACGTTGTGCTTCAGTCGTTGTACTATTTATATGTAACATTTTGAGTACCTTGACAATTGAGTGCCTCGAAAGATGTTGGGCCGTCGTTCAAGTCCCTTAAAATACAGTGTTTTTCTACCACCCAGCTTAATGAAGACAATGAGTATTTTAATCGCTAGCCCAGGCTAAACACTTGATTGGAGGCAGTGAATATCCAGACTGGGAAACAAGAGTAAAGGATAAAATGCTTGTTTATGAGAAAAATTAGAAATATTATTGTGGGCACACTCGGAATAATTCAAATAATAAAATATTGCTAATTAATTGTAATCGTGCAATGATAGTGCTATCATATTAGCATGAGAATTCATTTTTGTAAAGATATAGTGGATCTTGGAGCCTTTTATGTAGAATTAAGTATCCATCGTATCCCTACAAAAGCTTAGCTCTCATGCTAAGCTGCTAAGAACATCATGGAAAAATTATAATGAACTGAAATTATTCATAGCTTTAATTATTTTAGGTGTATCTTCTAAGAGCAAAATAATGTTTCGGAGTATCTCCTTTATTGATTCCATCTTATTCTACTCATTTCAACCCAGAGAATATTTGGCGGGGTTTTGGGGTTTTGGGGTTTTGGGGTTTTGGGG